CTCCTCCTCCTCCTCCTCTTCTTCTTCTTCTTCTTCTTCTTCTTCTTCTTCTTCTTCTTCTTCTTCTTCTATATACTGCTGCATGCAGATTCATTTTGTGCATTGTTTTACTGATAGTCACAGGCAGTAACTTTGCCTTAGTAAAAAGTTAAAACATCTGCTTAAAGGGCAATTCTGATTTCAGCTTTGCAAAAATATAGAACATCAAAATGGCCAATACAAAACAATCTCTGCATTGTTTTACTGATAGTCACAGGCAGTAACTTTGCCTTAGTAAAAAGTTAAAACATCTGCTTAAAGGGCAATTCTGATTTCAGCTTTGCAAAAATATAGAACATCAAAATGGCCAATACAAAACAATCTCACTTACCCAATATCCACGACCATCGTCCCAGTTTTTAGGGCAAGGTGACGGCATGTAGCTGCATAAGCGTCTAGAAAGAAAAAAAAGTCACTCCGTGTAGAATATCTATATGCATTAATTTCTATGCTGTTTTCTTGAGAAACTAAGATGCGGGGGGGGGACCATAGGTAAAGAAAACTGATTCATTTATTGGGATGGTTCCTGTGCCGCCCCCTCAGAATGTCCACTTGACCTGTTTTATTGAGAGACTAAGATGCAGGGGGGGGGATAGGTAAAGAAAACGGATTCATTTATTGGGATGGTTTCTGTGCCGCCCCCTCAGAATGTCCACTTGAAGTAGCTTACAAAGTAAAACAGAATAAATAATTGGAACATCATGAGAGTCATAACAGTTGGAATGACTATAAAAATCTATTTCTTATTTATTGCATTTATCCCACAGCATTTATCCCACTTATTTATTGTCTATCCCACAGTAGGCCCAGGCGGCTCACAACATCAATAAAATACAATGAACACATGATTAAAAACCAGTTAAATAAAACAGGATGGCAGCTAAGAAACTCCAGAGCAGTTCAATACAGCCTCCTGTTAGATGTTAGCAGGATAGTAGGCAGCTATAGACTTACTATGGGCAAGGAGGCCAAGATGGTAGAAACATCCACTGCCTCAACCAAAGGCCTGGCAGAACAGCTCGATTTTGCAGGCCCTGTGGAACTGTAGCAGGTCTTGCAGGGCCCTGATATCAATTGGGAGCACATTATGTTGGACATGTATAAGTTTCAAGGTCTAATCCAGTCATTATAGGGTTAACTTGTTTACCTTTCTATGCTATTGTTTAGACTGACCTGGGAGGGAAACCTGGCACAGAGCCAATGGGGAGAAAGCCCAGGAAAATCTGTGTTTTGTAACACGGATTGGTTAATGTAATCAGGTGACTTCCTTCTAGGGGTCAAGAAGAAGCAGATTCTCCATTGTTGTGTACCTTGTGTGTGACCATGCTTTTGTAGCAGCAAGATGTGACAAGGTAGCTCTAGATATGTTTTGTTATTTTGTAGGTTTCCTGTGTACCTTTTACCCTTAGAAATAAAGCTTTTTAAACAGAAAGAAATGTTTCCTCTCCAGTGAAGCAAAGATCCATTGCAAAGTTTAAGTGTGTAAGTATTCCCCAACATATTTCACCAGGCTGGGGCCAGGGCAGAAAAGGCCCTGGCCCTGGTTGAGACTAGGCAGAAGTCTTTTGGGCCAGAGAATATCAATAGATGTTGGTCTGTGAAGCAGAAGGCTCTCCAGGGTGTATATGGAAAGAGATGGTCCCAAAGATATGCTGATCCCAGCATACATTTAAAGGTCAGTACCAAAACCTTGAAGCATATCTAGTACTCAACTAGTAGCCAGTGCAGAGGTCACCAGTGTTCCCTCTAAGTTGAGTTAGTGTGAGCTAGCTCACAGTTTTTTAGCCTCCGGCTCACACATTTTTGTCTTAGCTCAGGAAGGATGGCTCCAGAGCAAACTAATTTATGCAGTAGCCAGTCGCTCACTCACAACTTTAATGCCAGTAGCTCACAAAGTAGAATTTTTGCTCACAAGACTCCACAGCTTAGAGGGAGCATTGGATATCACCATCAGCAAGTGCACCGCATTCTGCACTAGATGTGAGTTTTTGGGTCAGTTTCAAGGGCAGCCCCACACAGAGTGAGATACAGTAATCCAGCCTGGAAATGACTGTTGCATGGCTCACTGTAGCTAAATCCAGGAGGGAGAGATAGGGAACATGTTGCCTGATTTACCCTTAAAAATCCACAAAGAACATAATGCAGTATAAAACTTATAGTACCTTGCAATGAGTCTCATAAAACACTTATTAGGGAAAGTAGACTGTAAGACGTGTCAATTTTTTAACCTTATTAAAGATGGGACCAGTTTTTAATGAAAAGCCTGAGTAAAAAAGAAATGCTGATTCTATAGAGAAACCAAAAATTACAATTTGAATTCTTTTTGTCTTTTATTAGTCCTTTTGTTAATTTGGAATGCTTCATTTTTAAAATATTTTTTAAAAAATCAGCCCCCAGCTAGACAGTAAAAGATCTCTATTATATACTTTCAGATCATGGCCTTCAGTTTCCTCCGTTAATCCATACATTTGTAAATTAGATTTCCTAGTTTCATTTTCCAAGTTTTCTAACTGTCAGCACTTTCATTTCTTATTCAGATTTACCAAAATGTTTTCCCACTATCTTGAAAGCTTCCTCTGTCTTGCCAGTTCTTTCTTCCTTGGCTTTTTGTTGTTTCTTAATTTGTTCTACTTCTTCAGAATCTTAGGGACTACAATGCGAAGCCTGACCAGATGATATCAAATGGAATTCATGGACAGCCTATCAGCATAACCATCATTCAAGTTTACACTCCAACTATATATGCTGAAGAGGAAGAAATTAAAAGTCATTATGCAAGCGTCCAGGAAGAAACTGATCACACATGTAAGCAAGATGTGCTGATAATCATAGGTGACAGGAACACAAAAGTAGGAAACAAAATAGAATCCAATACCTTACTCTGATTTGGGCTAGGAGCACAAAATGAAGCAGGAAAATCATAGAATTCTGTGAAGATAACAATTTGTTCATTGCGAAAACATGTTTCAAGAAACCAAACAGATGATTGTATAAATGGAAGTCACCAGATGGCCAACACAGAAATCAAAGAGATAACATAATGGGAGGCAGAAGATGGAGAAGTTCTATTCTCTCTGCTAAAACAAGACCAGGAATTGTTAATACTGAAAATTAGAATAAACCACTCCAAAACATTCATAGTGCCAAAATACAATCTAAACAACATTACTGATGAGTTTAAAGATGATGTAAAGAACAAATTTGCATAACTAAGTTCAAGTGACCATGTACCAAAAGAGTATGGGTTGAAACTAGAAATGTTACCGAGGAAGAATGTGCAAAGACTATTCCTGTAGAGGGTTGAAACCAGAAATGTTACCAAGGAAGAACGGGCAAAGACTATTCCTGTAGTCAAAAGAAATGAAAAATCATGATGCAAGACTGATGAAACTCTAAAACTTGCTAAGGATAGATGAAAATAAGGATGGGCATGAACCACAAAAATGTGATTCCATTTGGTTCATGGTTGAACCATGAACCCCATGAATCCAGTTGGTCTGCATGTGAACCAAACCAGGTTCCGGAGGTTCGTGCCAGAAACAGCTGAACGTGGGGGCAGCCTGCTCCCACAGCTCAGTTGTTTCAGGCTTTAAACAGCTGAGCCATGGTAGTAGTTTGCTCTGCACAGCTCAAGGGCTTTCTTGGGTTCAGCTGCCCAAGAAAGCCCCTTTAAACAGTTGAGCCAAATGGAGCAAACTGCACCCATGACTCAGCTGTTTAAAGAGGCTTTCTTGGGCAGCCAGCTCCAGGCTCAGAGCCATTTAAACCCTTGATTTCTCTTCCCTGCTGCCTTTTGTGAGGAGCAGAAAGCAGTCATTTAAATGGCCCCCATCCATTTACACCAAACAGCTGTTTTCCAAGAAAAGTAGAAAGCTATGTGAACTTCCACAAAGTGCCATGAACTGCATCAAAATTCGTAAAAGTTCATGATAGTTCTTCAGTTCACAAACACTGGTTCATGAAGCACTAACTGCCCAAAATTCTTGATGTACTTTAGTTCATCAGCCAGTTTCTGCCCATCCATAGAAGAGAAACAAAATTAAAAGGTAACAGAAATAGAGCCAGAAGTCTAAATACAGCATTCAAGCAACTTGGATGTAGAGACAAGAAAATTATTATTGCAGATGCAGGGATTTAGTAAGAAGATGTTTTTTCAGAGATCCACACAAAACATACCACTCAAGGTTTTGGAATAAAACCATGGCCATTTTGTTGTGGTGCCTACTAAAGATAAAAGGTAAAGGTTCCCTTGCTCGAAAGCCAGTTGAATCCGACTCTAGGGTTACGGTGCTCATCTCCATTTCAAAGCTGAAGAGCCAGCGCCGTCCGAAGACGTTTCTGTGGTCATGTGGTCAGCATGACTAAACACCAAGGCACACGGAATGCTGTTACCTTCCCACTGAACTGGTACCTATTTATCTACTTGCAATGTCTTGCTTTCGAACTGCTAGGTTGGCAAGAGCTGAGACTAGAGACGGGAGCTCACTCCATCATGCGGCACTCGGGTCTCGAACTGCTGAACTACTGACCTTCCACAGCCTGCAGTTCAGCATCTTGTAATAAAAAATCACCTCAGGATCAACAAGGTTGAGGATCCCATTCGAGAATCAGGCACAATGGTGTCATGGACTCCAATAAAGCTATGAACAGACCTCTTTGACAATACCCCGTTTCCCCACAAATAGGTAATGTAAAGTATGAAATATCTTACTAATGGTCCCAAGCATGCCAGCACCTCCATGAATGTAGACCAGACATCTCCTTGGACCACTGGATGGATGTTTTGGCTCATATATTCTCACAGGCACATTATCAAATTGTTCATCCCTGATGTGGAGCTCCCGGTCTGTTTGGAATACTCCGATCTTTAGTGATGTTCTTATGAGTCTGACTTGGTCGCAAATGCCCAGTTTCTCCAAAATCCATGACTGTTTTAAGGGGGGGGAGAGATATAGAGAGAGGGAGACAAAGTAAGCAGTAGGATAACCACAATGAGCTTCTGGCCTGGATTCACAGGTGCCTCCTTGCTTGCAGCTGTTGGATTGGTTGGGTTCGCAAACCGTCTCAGGTAACAGCACATTAAAATTTTCCTCACAGGGTTAGGACCAAGCCACATCATTACCCTTCCACCAAGGTGAAAGTCTAGAAGAGGGGAATATGTGGGAATCTTTCCTCTGGCATTCAAGGAGCTCTAACTAAAGGAAGGGAGTAAAAAGGAAGAAGCTGAAAGACCAGGAGAGGTTTAAAGGCCAGCCAGTGGGTAAGAACGAGGTATCCACTCAAAATGTTGACTGAGAAAGCCAATGTCATGTAGTGGTTAGTGTTGGACTGGGGGAAAAAACAACGGCATGGAGTTGGGATGGCCTGATCAAACCATCCCGATGGCATGAGAGTGCGCTGGAGTGATCAGACAGGGGAAAGTCCATCCGTGGCCCGTCGCAACCCATTTACTACTGGATTTCCCCCAGTGTCTTTTAACTCTGCTTCTGCGACAGAGCAGAATGGGTTGCCAACGGCTGCGTGACACTTCCCAGATGTTGTTGTCTGATTGCTTTCTTTAAATCCACCCGGAATTCGTGCCTATGTCGGATCTAATTGTGCGTGTGATCGCAGCCTAGGATCTACATAGCTTTCTCCATGCCTTTTCTCTGTACCCTGGTAAGTGTTGGCTAACTAGATTTTATATGTGGGTGCAACAGACCACCATAATAGCAATTTCAAAAAACAAAACAAAACAGAAAATCGATTTTACTTCTATAAGCAGTCCTTGGTTACAAAAAGGGAAGGAAAAAGAACACGGCTGAGCAAAACTGGAGTAACAGCATCTTAGCCAAAGGAAATAAAATGAGAAATACATTAGGCTTCTCACTTTAGATCTAAAATGTACCTCCCCGATCGTCATTTAGGAGACAGGCAGAGTAATCATAAAGATTCGTCATTTCTGTCCATGCTCTTTTCGTGCCTCTCTCTTTCTCAGACATTGTTTGAGCAGTCTTTCTCCGGGTCTGATTCATCTCTATCCTCCAAACAGAATTTCTAAATCTCTCCTCTTCTTCACAAAGGTTCTCTATACAATTTAAGTGACTGCTCTCATCCTACCTAGCAAAAAATTGCCAGCCAGATCCCAGAAGGTTTCTGAAACATTCATAGATTACTGTAGCTCCTAGGGCCTCAGGAAGAAGAAGAAGAGGAAGAGGAAGAGATTGGAGTTATACCCTGACTTTCACTACCCAAAGGAGTCTCAGAATGGCTTACAAACTCCTTTCCTTTCCCCTCCTCATAACAGACACCCTGTGAGGGAGGAGAGGCTGAGAGAGCTCTTTAGAGAACTGTCCATGAGAGAACAGCTCTGACAGAAGTATGGCTTGTCCAAGGTCATCCAGCAGCTGCAAGTGGAGGAGTGGGGAATCAAACCCGGTTCTCCCAGATTAGGAGTGGGAAATCAAACCCAGTTCTCCCAGATTACAGTCCGTGCACTTACCCACTACACCAGACTGGCTCACCAAACTGGCTCACCAAACTAGAAAGGGTCTTTGTTGTCCTGGAAAACCCCATCAACTTACAAACTGACATCCCCGGTCTGTTTGGAATACTCCGATCTTTAGTGATGTTCTTATGAGTCTGATTTGGTCGCAAATGCTCAGTTTCTCCAAAATCCATGACTGTTTTAAGGGGGGGGGAGAGATATAGAGAGAGGGAGACAAAGTAAGCAGTAGGATAACCCCAATGATCTTCTGGCCTGGATTCACAGGTGCCTCCTTGCTTGCAGCTGTTGGATTGGTTGGGTTCGCAAACCGTCTCAGGTAACAGCACATTAAAATTTTCCTCACAGGGTTAGGACCAAGCCACATCATTACCCTTCCACCAAGGTGAAAGTCTAGAAGAGGGGAATATGTGGGAATCTTTCCTCTGGCATTCAAGGAGCTCTAACTAAAGGAAGGGAGTAAAAAGGAAGAAGCTGAAAGACCAGGAGAGGTTTAAAGGCCAGCCAGTGGGTAAGAACGAGGTATCCACTCAAAATGTTGACTGAGAAAGCCAATGTCATGTAGTGGTTAGTGTTGGACTGGGGGAAAAAACAACGGCATGGAGTTGGGATGGCCTGATCAAACCATCCCGATGGCATGAGAGTGCGCTGGAGTGATCAGACAGGGGAAAGTCCATCCGTGGCCCGTCGCAACCCATTTACTACTGGATTTCCCCCAGTGTCTTTTAACTCTGCTTCTGCGACAGAAGCAGAGTTAAAAGCGTGGTATTGGCCTGAAGGAACGGATCGGGGACTGGTGCGAGCCGATTCACAGATGTTGCAGTGTGCTCACGCCCGTTCGCTGCGCCCCCGATCCGTCCCTCTCCCAGGCCAAAACCTCCCGTGTGACTGGGGCCTAGGATTGGGTAAACTTCCCTTTCTCCAAGACTGAAACAAATCTCCATATCAACAACCAAGCCAGGATGCTGATAGCTTCTTACAGTAATTGCCAGCCTGTAGGTCATTTTCTCCTGTAGTCTAACCTTTCTCTCTTACTTTCCTTGCTCTCTTACTTTCCAGCTCAGCCAGAACTTGCAAAGCAGTAGGCAGTGTGCTGCAGCAAGATAAAAACAACCTTTCCCTCTCTTAATTTCTCCCCCTCTATTCCACACATTTCTCATACATTTCTGTCTCCCTTCACCTAATTTTTCCATCCCCCCCCCTTTGTTTTGTTTTCACTTCTTATTCTCAAGACTTTCTCACTTCTATCCTGCTTGGTGACAGAATGTATTTAAGAGTACTATAGTAGCAAATCTTTGTTAATGTTATGAGCAGAAGGCACAGGGTCTGCTGGGCACTGTGCATTGCACTGGTTCTGCTGGGCTTCCACCCCCTGCTTGCTTGGACTGTGATTCTGTGCTTGACATCAGCTGTCATTGCCACAATGGCACTGGGTTTTGCTGAGCACTCTGTGATTGCACTGGTACACTGGGTACTCTGTACATTGTACTGGTTTGGCTGTGCTTGCAAAAATTACCCCCCCTTCAGTTTCTACTCACCCAGGAAACTTCCATGGCATGAGCAGGGATTCGAACCTGGGTCTCCCAGATCCTAGTCCAACACTTTAGACACTGGCTCTCGTGATGGAATAGCATGCTAGAATTTGGATTTTTTAAAGCTGGCATGATTATATACATGAAGTTGAGAGCCAGTTTGGCGTAGTGGTTAACTGCGCCGACTCTAATCTGGGAGAACCGGGGTTGATTCCCCACTCCTCTACTTGCACCTGCTGGATGACCTTGGGCAAGCCATAGTTCTCGGAGCTGTTCTCTCAAGAGCAGTTCTGTCAGCGCTCTCTCAGCCCCACCTACCTCACAGGGTGTCTGTTGTGGGGAGGGGAAAAGAAAGGGGTTTGTAAGCCACTCTGAGACTCCAAGTGAAGGGCAGGGTATAAACCCAATCTCTTCTTCTTCGTCTTCTTCTTCTCTAAATAGAATAATTTTGTCACTGTCTGCATTTCTTTTCTAGCCATTGAATCAAAGTTTGGGCCCAGTGGCACCTTTAAGACCAGACCTTGTTCTGCTGCTTCGGACCAACGTGGCTACACACCTGAATCTATTTTCTGGCCGTTATTATTATCATTCATTTTATTTCATTATTATTCCTGAAAATAATTTTGTCACATAGAGGATGGTCCCTGACCTGGATAGCCCCGGGACAGCCTGATCTCGTCAGATCTCAGCAGCTAAGCAGGGCCGATGTGGAGGCGGGCGATGGCAAACCCACCTCCAAACGTCTCTTGCTTTGAAAACCCTACAGCAGGGGTGGCCCAGCTCGCTTAACGTAAGAGCCGCATAGAATAAAAGAATAAACGTCAGATGTCTGAGAGCCCCGAGACATGAACAAATATCACATAAATGTTTTTATTTTAAAAACAGGCGAATTGCTTTCCATTAAACATTAAATGAGACTGTCAAAAATAAAAAAAAACACAAAAGGGGTAAAAACAGATATTGATAGCGATATTTATTTATCCAATGATATTTGTAGGCGGGGGGGCTTTGAGAACGCATTTAAAATTAAATCTGCATTCTTTCTCTGCTCCCCCCCACACACACCTCAAGCCTGTCTAGGGATGGGAACACTGGCTGGGGAAAGGAAGACCGATTTGGGGATGCATGCCTCCTGTGACGTCCTCCTTATTGGGGAGGACTGGTTTCCCTTTAAAAGTGTTCTTTATTTGGTTCTACTAGGGTATATCCAGCTGCCACCAGGAAATTTAAGGCTTTCCAAACCTTTATACTTTACTGTTGCTCTTACGAGTTAGGTAGCCCGAGTTCAAGGCTTATGAGGAACTATGTGTCCTGAGGAAGTATTTCTTTTAGAGCTGGTATACTTAAATAAAAGAGGATTTATTGAAGGAATTCATAAATAAAAGGGTAGAACAATGTAACCAGTAAGGAGTAAATCATGAACAAATGCTTAGTGTATCACACACAATCTGCTCCCTTACTGACAGGGATCTTTCAGGTAACTTTGTAACACTTTAACTTTACTGTTTCCTAGACACTCAGCTTCAGCTTATAACTGTTTCAACACAGAACTGCTTATCTCTCTTTGTAAATGCAGCACCAACTTATTCCACACGGAACGGCTTCTCTATATTTCACTCAGAACTAACTGCTTGTCTAACTCATTCCCCACATAGAACTAACTGAACCCCTCAACTGTCAAACCTGTAACTGTAACCTCTGACTGACATACAGACATATCCACTCATTCTCACTTCTAAAACCCCTCCCCCTCTCTGTCAACCACCAATCATACCACGCTTGCTTCTCTCAACCACTCTAGTCTACTTACCACAGCCATGCAACCAAACTTTTAAAGAGAGACATACACACCAAAAACAAGGAATCATTACACCTCCCCTTCGCTTCCCCAGCTGCCCTGCTGGAAGCCGCACAATATGTGCGAAAGAGCCGCATGTGGCTCCTGAGCCGCAGTCTGGCCACCCCTGCCCTACAGGGTCGCCATAAGTCAGCTGTGACTGGACAGCAAGAAGATAAATAAACAGAAGAGGGGAGTGTTAAAAAATTATCCGCCCCAGGCACCAGATAGGCTAGGTATGCCACCGGTGCCAACCTCACTTTTTCTGTTTTAATTACAACACTGACATCTATAAATTTTGACATCTATAATAACGTATGACTTTAACTTTCTTTTCTCTCTCTCTACATTAGGCAATACTGGGGGTGGGGGGAGACCTGAAAAAGGGTTTCCCGCATAAAACCTGATGTACTTACCACAAAAAACATTATATCTACATAGACAGAAGTAAACGCATATTTGAAGTATTCAGAGGTTTCCAGAGGGATATTCATTCTTCGGAAATAAAGATAACGCTGGTACAGGATGCTAAGAGGCAGACATACCAGGACAAGGGACAAATACATTTTCTTCTTAGAGAAGTGAGTTGAAGTGACTGATGGGTTTTTAAAGCGTACATAGTTATAGGCCTTGCCATTAAAAACTATTACTTCACACTCACTCTGGTTGGGTAAGTATGGTCTGATGCCTCCTAGAAAATTACCACCCATTTAAAGAACAAGTTTTGACATCAAGCTTGCATACAGCTCCTTAATCTGGAGTTTTGCCATTTTGATTACCAAGGGCTTTGAAAAGGAGTTTTCTAAGGACTGGACAGGTAATGTTTCTCTTTGTGCTGTCCCTTTATTCAACTGAGCAAATCATTTTCTTCTGCCTGCTCTTTGGTCCTTTCTGCACTAGATCTTAAATCCTGGTCCAACCCTGTCCCCGAACTTACCTTTTACACTACATGCAAGTTCACCCCTGTAATTATTTCAGGGAATTTTTACATTCTACGCTACACTCGGGTTCACTCTTGTAATTATCTCAGGGTGTTTTTTTGTTTCCATATTACATTGAGGTCACCCCAGTTTCACCCCACACTTCTCCCGGGATAAACGGACGCTGTTATAACCTGGGATAAATGCAAAGTATTGTGTCCTGAACTCTGATAAAACCAGGGATGAGATCCAAGTGTGGAAAGGTGGCCACAGAGTAGTGGCATATATATATATATATATATTTCATTTTCTGAGGTACTTCACCAGATCTGCTGCCTAATATCCCTTCACTGAAAATGACAGGCTGCCTCTGAAAACTTCTGCAGGCCAAAGTATGCATTTTACCACTGAGTCATGTCCTTGTAACCTTAGAGTGTGATACCATTTTAGAGTGTTATTTAGGAAAGCTGGTACAGTGCGGAGGGCTGGATTAGGATGTTGTAGAACCATCAGTCAATTCTTGCTCTGCTTTCAAGCTGGCTGGGTGAGCATAGGCCAGTGACAGATACCTTACAGGACTGCTGTGAAGGGAAAACGAAGTTTGCCACCCACAGTTCCTTGAAATTTCCCACACCATTAAGGTTTCAGTTTTCTCTCTATCCACTAGACCAGTGGTGTTTAGAGGTGGTTTGCCATTGCTTGCCTCCATGTCACGACCCTGGTGTATTTGTAAGATTCAGAAATCTCCAGAGGGATCACGAGCCAGTTTGTTGAAGTGGTTAGGAATGTA